GAAAGTGTCCAAATAATGAAATAAAAAACCCTAGAAGGATATTGAAATAAAAAATAGCTATAACCTGAAAACAGTATGAAACCAAGTAAAGGGAAAAAAATGAAGAAATAAGATAGGGCCATTTGTTGATGTCTCAGAAATAATTTCAGTGTGATAATGCATTTTATAATTGTGTGTATGTTTCATCAACTGTTTGAAGGATTCAAATGTTTTTTTAAATCAGCATTAGTAATACATACACCCTTAATTATAGTTTAAAATGTTTAAGAGAATTAATTAAATTGATTTTTTAAACAGATTTATTTATTTATTTTAGAAAGAGGGGGAGAGAGAGAGAGAGAGAGAATGAACAAGGGGAAGGCCCAAGGTAGAGGAAAAGAGAATCTCAAGCACACTCCATGCTGAGCAAGGAGCCTGATGTGGGGCTCCATCTCATAACCCTGAGATCCCGACCTGAGCCGAAACCAAGAGCTGGACATTTACCTGACTGTGCCACCCAGGCACCCCATTTTTAAATGCTCAAAAAATTTAGTTTTAAGTGATACTTAATTAGATATATAAGTTTTTAACAATCTGAGCATTAAGCAAAGTTTAAATAGTTATGAGTATTCCTTCCATGTCCCAAAGCTCCTGGGCATTAAAGAATATAAACATAATGAGAGGGACATGTGGCAGGAGTCACTTAGACTGATGACAATGCTCAGTGGGCAATGGGATGGGGAAGAGGACAAGAGGTCTTCCTTGTGCCACATTTATTACTTCAGCTGGGCTCATGGGTGAAGAGGTGTTTACAACATTATACTCCATACATTCTTCTGTGCTGAAATATTTCATAAAAAGCAAATTTGCAATTGTACTTGAAGGAAGAGAAACTCTCCCTGATAAGAAAGATGGTCTTAATCCAAAATGAATGACTAGAGTGATTCAAATTACACTGAAAAATGTTCACACCTTGTAATCCTAACTCCAAAGGCAGAATTTTACAAGTTCAAAGCTATTTTAAGATATTGTAATAGCTATGTACGGTGACAGATGGTAGCTCCACCTGTGGTGAACCCGGCATAATGTATAAACTTGTCAAGTCACTATGTTGAACACCTGAAACTAATGAAACTGTGTCAACCAGATGCCAAAAAAAAAAAAAAAAGCCATTTTAACAACTGGCCAAGTTGGATAACTACATTGCAATTAGCTATATCATTTGGTTCTAATGGCATTAACCATTACATATACGTTAACCTATTACACATCTTAGATTTTCATGAGTTTGTTTAATATAATTTCCAGAAATTAAGTCACAGTCCTCTGCAGACTCTCTGTGCTTCAAAAACTATATGTATCTGTGGGAAAACATTTGCTGTGCTAACAATGTTTCATTTGCTGGATTAAACAAGCAAGTTACCGATAAGTCATTTTTAACTTTTAAAATTCCAGTATTGTTAATTTCCAGTGTTCTATTAGTTTCAGGTGTACAATATAGTGATTCAACAATTCTACATATTACCCAGTGCTCACATCATGCTAAATGTACTCTTAATTTCTGTTTTCTATTTCACCTGTCCCTCCCGCTCCCTTGTGGCAACCACCAGTTTGTGCTCTATAGTGAAGAGTCTGGTTTTTTGTTTGTCTCCCTTTTTCTTTACGCATTTGTTTTGTTTTGTAAATACCACTATAGTATTTTGTCTTTCTCTGACTGACTTAATTTCACTTAGCATTATACTGTCTAGACCCATCCATGTTGTTGTAGATGGCAAGATTTCATTCTTTTTTATGGCTGAGTAATACTCTATACACCTATTGTTGGACACCTGGAGTGCTTTCATACCTTAGCTATTGTTAACAATGCTGCAATAAACACGGGTTGCTTAGATCTTTTCAAATTAGTGATTTTGCTTTCTTTGGGTAAATACCCAGTAGTGGAATTGCTGGATCCTATGGTAACTCTATTTTGAATTTTCTGAGGATCCTCCATACTGTTTTCCACAATGAATGCACTCACTTCCATTCCTACCAATAGTGCACAGTCCACATCCTCGCTGACACTTCTTGTTTCTTGTGTTTTTTATTCGGGCCATTCTGACAGGTGTGAGGTGCTATCTCATTGTGGTTTTGACTTGCATTTCCCTGATGATATAAGTTGTTTTTATATTAATTTTGGGATGCAATAGCCATCATAGAAAACAAAAATACAGCTACTTCACAGCAATATCCTATTAGTACAATATAATAGATTAACTTTACAAGAGAAGAAAAATATGAAAAATGTAGATCTAGTGACATTCCATACCTTTGCAATGGGCCAAAGCTATCATTTCATAGGCTCAAAATTGTGGTCCACCTGGGTCACTGAGTGGACTATTGTCAGCACCAGGAGTTTTGTTACTAAGAGCCACTTAAAATGGGTTCTTCTATAGTAGCCTTCAGAGGGAAACTCTGTCTAGAAGGCATTGTTGGGGCTCATGTCTGAAAGCACAGAGTCGGAGTCTTTCTTTACTTAAAAAAAAATAAGACTTTATAGAGTTGATATTTAGAGGGCACCTAGGTGACTCATTTGGTTAAATGGACAACTCTTGATTTTGGCTTAGGTCATGATCTCAGGGTCATGGGATGGAGCCTCGCATCTGTGCTCAGCAGGTAGTGTGCCTGAAGATTCTTTCTCTCCCTCTCAGTCTGCCCCTCCCCACCCTGCTCCCAGGCTTGTGCTCTCTCTATTTCTCTCTCTTTAAAATAAATAAATCTTTCTTTAAATTGTTGCTATTTGGTTTAGCATGGATTTCTTTGCATTAATTTTGATTTTTAAAATAGTGCACTAAAATGTATTATTATTTATTTGATTACTGAGTTTTTGTGAATCCCCCTCCATTTATGCCTGAGACAAGTGCCTCACTTTCTCACTCTGGTCTCAGCACTGGTTGCATTTGCTCTTTCTACAATTTGCGTCATTATCCAAAGGGGAATCCTGGGAATATTCCTAGATCCCTCATTCTGAACCACCTCTCACATCTAAACAATTTTCAAACTTCATAGATTCTACTCTCCCTCTCTCTCATTGCTCTTCTGTTCAGCATTCCCACAGTCCTGTTTTGTGTCTCCTCTCTTCCCTCTAAGATGACTGCAAAAGCATCTTAACTAGTCTATTCTAACTAGCCTACCTGTCTTCCTCCGAATCACTGCCAGTACTATCTTTCTAGAAGGCAAATCTGTTCACATCACTCTCCTGCTTCAAAGAGGGACTCCTGGGTAGCTCAGCAGCTGGGCATCTGCCTTTGGCTCAGGATGTGATCCTGGGGACCGGGATCAAGTCCCACATCAGGCTTCTTTTGGATACCCTGCTTCTCCCTCTTCCTGTGTCTCTACCTCTCTCTGTCTGTCTCTCATGAATAAATAAATAATCTTTTTTTTTTTTAAATTAAGCCTTCAAAGATTTCCTCCAGCTTTCAGAACATCCTGAGCTCATTTGCAGACCTTCATAGACTGGCCCCTGCCTTGTTCTGCAGCTCATTTCCTGCCCTAGACTACAAACACTCCCCATGCATCGTGCTGCTGCATGTCACCTGGCATACTGTTTGTACATACTGCTCCTTGTCTCTGGAATGCCCTTACCAACTCTTTATCCAGCTGACTTCCTATGTTTTGAAACTCACCTGAAGAATATTTCCTCTGTGCCTGGGTGGCTTAGTCAGGTAAGTGTCTGCCTGTGGCTCAGGCCATGACCCTGAGGTCCTGGGATTGAGCCCTGCATGGGGCTCCCTGCTCAGTGGGAAGCCTGCTTCTCCCTCTCCCTCTGCCTCTGCTGTTCCCCCTGCTTGTGCTCTCTTTCTCTTGCTCACTCTCTCTCACTCAAATAAATAAATAAAATCTTAAAAAAAGAGAGTATTTCCTCTGGAAAGAATTGGCTGCCAACGTCATTGAATTTATCTACCTAGTTTCTGCATTTCCAAAGTACTTCATATGTCCATTTACCATGTCTTTCATCATGTTATGCTGAATTCATTGATGTACTTGCTGTAATTAGACTGTTAGGTCCTTATGAACAGAAATCATGACTTTTTATCTTTGTTTCCCATCTACTAGCAGAGTGCTGGGTACTCAGGAAATATCTGTTTGAATGAGTAAAAGAATGATATAAAAGACATAATAATGTATGGTATACAGTAGTTAATCAAAGTATTGGTCTTCCTTTTTTTTTTTGTTTTTGTTTTTGTGCTCAACTACCCTAATAATAAGTTTAGAGTTATCATTCTCAATTACCAGATACTTTTCAAGAACTGACACTTAAGAATCTCAAGGCATTTGTTGATGTTATCACAATGGGTTGAAGGCTTTGTTTGAAGGTATTCAACTTAACTGAACAAACTGGGTAATGCAGTGTGCTGGTCCCTGCAAGCTAAAGGTTGGATAAAAAACTATTGCAGATCTCAAAGAGTTTTCAATCAAATATAACCACGTATGACAAATACTCACTTTATGCTACTATAAAGCATACTGCAGCAAAGTACCACAGGGTGCCATCCAGAAACTATGGGAGTCACATAACCTGTACTTGTAGAATCAGTGGAGTGAGATGCTGGGGGAGAGCACACCACACGGAGGGCACAGACATGCAGGCGGGAAGCCACTGAACATTTGCAAGCAGAAAGCAGGCCCAATGGGGGTACATATAAGAGTGGAGGGAGCAAAACCTACAAAAGTGGTTGGGAATATATTGCAGAGGGTCTGGGGTCTGAGGGTTGTTTTTTGTTTGTTTGTTTGTTTTGTTTTTTGTTTTTGTTTTTGTTTTTTGTTTTTTTCCCAGAGTCCACTTTATTGAGTGCTGTAGCATTTACACAGGTCAAGGGAGGCAGGCGATGGGCCATGGCTAAATAGACCCCCTCTCCAGGGTTTCTGCTTGAGAAGAATGAGGACTGGTTGGTTCAGGACGGTGCAAGCCACCCCTTCTCCTCCCCCAAGAGAGGCCCCCTCCCTCCCACAGAGCTACAGCAGCCTGGGCTTTTTTTTTTTTTTTTTTCATTAATAGTTGGGTTTATTTCACCAGTGGGTTTGAAACTCTTGCCTTAGGCAAGAATACTACGGTAATTATACCAGGAATAGACAATTTCCTACACTGTCAAATATATAAAAGTTCCTCTTGCACTTTTCTCAACAGTGATCAACAAGCAATTTCAGTCCACATTTGCTTTGATCAATCTACTGAGTTAACCCAAGCTTCTTCTTCAGAGACTCTGGCATTTCAGGTGGAGGTGGGCGAGGGAGCCTGAAGTAGACCTTCACAGAGTCATAGATGAACCACTGTAGGGCAGTCAGAGTGCCAATCATGATGATATGGGCAGAGTCCCTTCCATACACGTTTAAATCCGAGTCTCTGAAGGACTTGAGAAGCACTGCTACCTTTCTCTTTATTCAACACAGATACCACAGAATCAGCAGGATGAGAAACAATTGCACAGAAGATTCCAGCTATATAACCTGCTACAAATGTTACAACCAGTTGCTCTGCCTTTGAACATTCACTTCCAGGCTTGGGAACCACAAACTTATATAATGCTTCAACAGTACGTTCAAAGCAGGCAAATTTCATCATGGTGTATGGTATCTGTCTCATCCAGAGAGGAGCAACCCCCTTGTAGAATGCTTTTAAGCCTTCTTCCTTATACATTTTGGGAGCTGCATCCCTCAAGGTCTTGGCATAGCCTGGTTGGGTTTGAATTCTAACCTTAGCAGCTTCCATAGGAGCCAGGGCAATGTCAGCAAAGAATTCAGCACTGGCAGAGGCAGCCAAATATAGTGATGTGCACCAGAGATAGGCATTCTCGTCTCCATGTGAGGAATCTGTGCTTGACCTAAGGCAACAAGAAACCACAGAAGGTTTTTGAGCAAGGGAGTGTGATAACCAGAGATTTCCCTAAGACAGGTTGCTCTGGTGGTAGTACTATCATGGATGTTTACTATCTAAAAGGGGTCAAGCCATTGCAAATTACTTCAAAAAAAAAATCTTACAAATACACTGAAAACTGTTCCTCTCATCGAAAGACTAAGTTAATGTGAGAGCTCACACTTTTTTTAAAAAAGGAACTATATACTATACTAAAAGCTTTTAAATTTAGGAATATTTCTTGGGCAACATGTGAGTTTTCTTGAGTTAGAAGGAAAGGTTGATGGAAAACTGTTGCCTCTTGTCTATCGAGCTGGTGACTTTCCATTCCTCCTACCCAGGAACAGTCTGGGGTCTAGAGGCCTTACCAGTCATCCACCTAAATCCAACAGTCAACACAGAAACTGGCTAGAATTTGCCTCTCCTTTTCCGCTTCTACCAAGACCCTAAATGTGGCAATCTCTGGGAAGAGATATGAAGGTGAACCCATTCCTAGAACCCAGAGTCACCGTTTCTGTAGAGCGTGATGTGTTCAAAGTAAAGCACCAGTGCTGTGCACAATATGAAAATACGTGCATATGGGCTTCACCTTAGGAAAATCTGATGTAGAAAACTGTAGAAATCTGAAGACATAGTTAAATAAGGATGTGATTCTTCATCCTTGTTTACCTTTGCATTTAAGACAATTAGATAAATATACAGCTTGCATTTAAGACAATTAGATAAATATACAGCTTTTCTGTATGAACAAATGAGAATGAAAAACTTGGTTTTTCTGTACTTCAGCTGTCTTAAAAATCTCAGGTTACAAAGGATCAGGTGACACAGGGATAAGGAGACACAACAGTAAAAGGAAGAGAGAAAACTGGTCAGAAGCCTTTGAATTATTATTACTCCCAGGAAAAGAACTTCTGGAGCAACAGAGAAGCAGTGTTCAATGATTCTCAAACACCGCTGTAAGTTAGAATCATGAAGAAGTTCTGTGAGGGGCACTTGGCCGGCTCAGTCAGTAGAGGGTGCGACTCTTGGTCTCAACGTTGTGGGTTCGGGCCCCATATTGGGTATAAAGATTGTTTAAAAATAAAATCTTAAAAAAAAAAAAGAAGTTCTGATGAAGATTCCTAACTCTGGGAAGCGAACTGGGGGTGGTGAAAGGGGAGGAGGGCAGGGGATGGGGGTGACTGGGTGGCGGGCACTGAGGGGTCACTTGACGGGATGAGCACTGGGTGTTGTTCTGTATGTTGGCAAATTGAACACCAATAAAAAATAAATTTATTATTAAAAAAAAGAAGTTCTGTAAAAAGTGAGTATTCCTGGGCCCCATCTCTGGAGATTGTTTCCATAGATCTTGTGGAGTGGAGGAGAGGAACCAGTTATCTGCATTAAATACACACACATTGTTTTGATACCAACGTAGTATGGGAACTGCTAAAAAAAAAAAAAACTCATCTCCATGTTTCCCAAATCTCTAAGCACACAGCTGTCTTTTTATATTTGTCTTATTAAAAATATTTGTCTTTTTATATTTGTAGTATTTTCTAATGGGAGTGCTTGCTTCAAACTCTTTATGATTAGAGTAAAATTCTTCCAGATGGTTGAAACTCCAAAATCTTCACATTCTTTCCAATTTTATAATGGGCTGACATAGGCTCATGGAAAATTAAGAGAATAGAAATGAAAATGGAAATAGAAATGCCATTAGGAAGAGTGTCAGTCTAGATGTACTGAGCAGCAGATGCCAAGATGGGATGAAATGTGTGAGGTTTTTATTAAGGAAAATGATGTTGTATGGGAAAGTGGGGAGGGGGCTGAGGAAATCTTGGGATCACTCACTCACCAGACACACAAATCTGACCCTAAGCGAAGAAGAGAGAGAGAATGTTTCAACGAGGCATCTTACACCACTGTATAGTGCAAGGAAGCTTCTACAGAGCTGTCAAGGAGTTCTCAAGGCAAAATAGGTCTAAGTCATTTTAAAAGGATTTAGATTTTATTTATAGATCTTCCTGCCTGTGTGATACACAAAATCTTCCTAGACAAAGACCTTGAGAAATTAGTGGCTTTGAAGTTAATTATATTTCCTAAAGAAAATTTCCAATTAACACTGAGATCTTGCAGTATTTTTTTTAATTAATAATTAAAACCTCACCCCTGGAGAAGGGAGAATTATCATCATTCCATCAGAGATGCTATACCATTCATTCATTACATTAACAGAGCAAACAAGATTCTAGAAATGGCTCCTTAAATACACAATGTTGTGATGTTAAGCGCTTTCCACTCTTCTGGCTATCTAATATCTAGATATTCCTGGATATGTCACGGTTTTTGATTCTCAGATAAATCTAAAAAAGACAGGTAGCATCAATAACAATAATTACTGGTAGCAGTTCCATGGAGTAGATCTGTCTTGTTTCAATTGTTCCATGAGCACCCAGCAACATACTAGGATCTGCCTAAACACTGCCATTTTATAGCTTCTTTTCCTTATATGTCCTCTATTTATCCTCACTGACATGGTGCTTAATGTTTCAGTGTGACGTTTCCAAAGCACTCTATAAAGTGGCTAAATATAACTTGTGTCTAAGAGGAAGGCTTCCCCATAGTAGTCTCTACAAGCAGCCCCCACTTTGTGGTTCCCACGTGCATGAATTTCAGTTACCGTGGTTTAGGTAAGTAACACTAGTTCTCCAGCGACATAATTCAAATTGCAGTTACCATACTTTACAGTGTGGAGCAATCGCATGCAGTGACTACTACCAGGTGTTCAGTCCACAGATCTCTATGCACAAAGCAGATGTGTGATACAACTGGTGGTCATGACACCACTTTGTTCCGAGTCTATCAGTTATCAGTCCTCGCACATCTGTTGTTCAGTTCTTGCACAAACAGCAAAGTATGGAGTTGTGTAATCTTTTCATCTCCCAGCAATCAAACTCATATGTCATTTTACAAAAATGGGCAACAGAGGGGTGCCCGGGTGGCTCAGTCAGTAAGACCACCGACTCTTGATTTCACCTCAGGGTGGTGATCTCAGGGTCATGAGACTGAGGCCTGTGTGGGGCTCCACCCTCAGCGGAGAGTCTGCTTGAGATTCTCTCCCTCTCCCTCTGCACTCTTTCTCCCAGCACACTGCGCACTCTTTATCTCTGTGTCTCAAATAAATAAATAAATCCTTTAAAAAAATGAGTCCTAGAAGGAATTGGCCAACAAAGACGAAAGTGTAACAAAGAAGCAATAAGTGATAAAGCTAAAAGTGAAACTTGGGTCGAGTACATGAGTTACAGAAGAAGAGCTAGCAGCAGGAATGGTGACTGTGTTCTCACGGATGCCTCCAGAGATACAGCCAGAGGACTTCAGTGAGGACAACTAAATGGGGAAAGAGGTCGCGATGAAAAAGATAAAGAGGTCCCAGAGGAAGTGAGGCTAGCAAAAAATTCACAGTAAAGGAATTCACGGAGGCGCTACACCACATTAAAAGCACAAAGCATAAAATGTTACATATTGATTCTAGCTTAGGGATGTGGCAGTTCACCCAGGCTTGCAAGTTCATGACAAGAAGGCAAACACTATCCAAATTATTCTTGATAAATTTTCATAAAGAAATAAAACACTTTAATCTTTAATGTTTCTCATGTGCTAAATGTTAGTTTTACTATTCTTAAATTTTTGTATATTTATTTATTTTTTAAGCAGGCTCTATGCCCAGTGTGGGGCTTGGCCTCACAACCCTGAGATAGAGAGTTGCAGGTTCTACCCACTGAGCCAGCCAGTGCCCCAGTTTTACTGTTTTTTGTTTGTTTGTTTGTTTGTTTGCTATACACATTTTTTTGAAGATTTTATTTATTTATTTGACAGAGAGAGAGCACCAGCAGAGGGAAAGGCAGAGGGAGACAGAGAAGCCGACTCCCCACTGAGCAGGGAGCCCTATGTGTGAAGCTCTATCAGAGGACTCTGGGATCATGACTTGAGCCAAAGGCAGAGCTTAATCAACTGAGCCACCCAGGCACCCCCACCCGGTATACATTTAAAGTGTCAAAATATCAAGTAACAAAAATCACAGAATCTTGTATTCCATTAACGGTTTTCTCTAGTACTAAAACACACTACTTCATTCTATCAATTGCAAACTGTTATTTATTAAGTTTTTATTCAAAGAAGCAACTGTTTAAAAACGTTTCTTGAGAGCAAAATACATCACAAACCATGTTTGACAGAAAACCACAACTGTTTATAGACCCTCAGAAAAGTCACACTTGAATATGTTTACCACACACACCATTGTAAGAGTTACTGCATTATACCAAATTTCCAACTGCTTTTTCCCTAGTAAAGTTTAACATTTATGTTGAATACCACAAATCTGATGTAACCAGGAAGATATTTTCTTTTTCTTTTTTAGAGAGCGAGAGAGCACATGCATGTGTGTGTGTGGGGGGGGGACTAGGAGGGAGAGACAGAGGGAGAGGGAGAGAGAGCATCTCAGGCTGACTCCCCACAGTACAGAGCCCCATGTGGGGCTCAATCTCATGACCCTGAGATCATGATCCCAGTGGAAACCAGGGGTCAGTCATCTAACCTACTGAGCCACCCAGGCAACCAGGAGGATAGTTTCTTAATCAACTAGTTTGGAAGTAGCAACCTTCAAATCTCTGCTCTTTGCTCCATATATTTTCTGTCTTCTGCTGCACCTCCTCTGGAACCCAACTTCCCAAATTCCATTTCTAGCCATGGGTACTCACCGGACCAACATTACTATACCAGCTGTACTGAGGACACCACTGTCCTAGTGAGAGGTACATATCTTTTACATGTGCATACAGATAAACAAATGAATGAATGAAGCTATGAGAAGTTTTTTTTATGATAGAGAATATCCACCTTATTTTTTTTAAAGATTTTATTTATTTATTCATTAGACACACAGAGAGAGGCCGAGAAATAGGCAGAGGGAGAAACAGGCTCCATGGAGGGAGCCCGATGTGGGACTTGATCCCAGGACTCCAGGATCATGACCTGAGCCAAAGGCAGATGCTCATCTGCTGAGCCACCCAGGTGTCCCAAGCTATGAGAAGTTGATTAAGGATTGTGCTTCTGGACTTCAGGATGGGTGAATTAAAGAGTAAATCTTGAGGCTGAAGGTTGGAGGAAGGTGATCAAAAGGTAAGAAAAGGTGAAAGTTATGAGACAAACAAGCACTGGGGACGGAGTGTACGCCATGATACTGTAGCTAATACTGCTGTGTGACATGTAGGAAAGTTCTTAAGAGAGGTGATCCCAAGAATTCCATCACAAGGAGAAAATTTTCCTCCTTTATTCTCTTTATCTTTCTTTTCTTTTTATTATATCTATAGAAGATGGATGCTAGCTGAACCTATTATGGTAATCACTTCACAGTATATGTAAACTGAACCATCATGCTGTATGCCTTAAACTTATAAAGTGATATATACCAATTATTTCTCAATAAAACTTGAAAAAAAATAAAGAGAAAAGCTTTCGGCTGGGCATGACCCTTGTGCTGTCAAAGCGGCCAATCCTTGGCCAGGATGGAATTCCCATGAGGCATCTGGGACAGTGGCCCTGGGGTAAAACCAGAAAGGGGTGCCAGGAATGAGTCAAAGGGAAAACTGAGAATTTGTCTTTCCCAGTCCCTCCTCTAAAGCATGGAATTTTGAATGACATTCAGCAAGGTATGTTACCCAGGGTTGCCAGGGTGTGTGTGGCCATGAAAATGTGTAACCATGTCTATGTCACTGTCCTGATCTCCCACTGTGGACATCACCCACTCCTAGAAAGTGCCCCAAATCTTCCCTTCCTCCTACTTCCCACACAACTTCATACTCTTCTCTGTTCTGGAGGCAGACTGAGAAGTTAACACTTTCAAGGGAATAGTTGGTTACATTTCCATGGCTTGGCAAACTAGAAGAATGGTAATTCTATATACGGAAGTTCCTCTTCTTACAAAGAGATAAATAAAGCCATTTCTTAAGCAGTCCTAAGTGACAACGCACCACTGACTAGTGGCTGGGACAGGGCATAAGTGACATGTTTTCCCCATCAGTCATCTTTATTGGTTTCTAAGATGATTGAAGAGCTGCTGAAACATGGGACATTTGGAGAGACTGCTGGGAAGGGGAGTGAGGAATGTGGGCTGTGGCTTGAAGAGGAGTGAAAGATAAGACCACCAGAGGCTAAAATGTGCTCCTTCAAATTCACAAAGGAAGCCTCAACCCTCCTACCTTGGTATGTGACTGCATTGGAGATAGGGTCTCTAAAGAGGTGATTAAGTTCAAGCGAGGCCATTAGAGTGGTCTCTTAATACAATCTGACTGGTATCCTTATAAGAAGAGAACACTTGGACCCACAGAGAGACACCAGGCATGTGCACAACCAGAGCGAAGACCATGTGAAGATACATGGGGAAAGTGGCCATCTGCAAGCCAAGGAGAGAGGCCTTAGAAGAAACCAGTTCTGCTGACACATTAATCTAGAGCTTCTAATCTCCAGATCATAATAAAATAAATTTCTGTCGTTTAACCCACCCAGTCTATGGTATGTTGTTACAACAGCCCTAGCAAGCTAATACAGGTAGGATGGCGCTATTAAAGGCTTGGTAGACCCTAATTAAAATTAAGATGTACTTGACAATTTTTTTTAAGGGAAGAGCTGTCAAGGTCCCCTTCCAAAAAGGAAAGTCTGAGAGGAATTGTCACAGCCAATGGAAGCCTAAGGAATATAATAATTAGCTGTAAGGTAGTATTTAGACGAGATCCTAGAAAGAAAAAAAGATATTAGGTAGAAACTAAGAAGATCTAAAAAAAAAAAAAGAAAGAAAGAAAGAAAGAAAGAAAGAAAGAAAGAAAGAAAGAAAGAAACTAAGAAGATCTGAATAAAGTGTGGAATTTAGTTAGTAATAATGTATCAATATTGGTTTGTTAATTATAACCAATATACTATAGTAATGATAGACATTAGTAATAGGGAAAAATGGGGGATGGGAGCAGGATACACAAAAATACTTTGTATTAGCTTCACAATTTTTCTGTAAACCTAAAATTTTGAAGTTTAATTTTTGAAAAGGAGTGGGAAGAAATATATAAAATTCTAAGATACTATAATGACAGAAATCTCCATGGTTACCTAGAGGTGGGGATGGAGAGAGCAAATCACCTGCAAAGGAGCAGTTGGCGGGGGTGGGGGGGGTGGGAAGAAACCCTTGTGGTGGAGGTTACAGGATTGCCCACAATGACCAAAATTCATCAAACATTTTGAAAGTGTGAATGTCATTGTATGTAAATGATACCTTCATAAAAGAGAAGACGATAATGGGAAGATGTTGAAAGTCTCTTAAGTTGTTGTGTAAGTGGTTTTGGAAAATCATTTTAGCAGCAGGGTAGAGAATGGTTTGGAGATGAGATCAGCACAGAGACAATTGCAGAAGTCCAAGCAAGAACAGGCCAGAGTTTGAACAAAGAGCTAGTGGGTTGACAGGGGTGATTTCAAACTACACTGGAGAAAGACAATGACAATTTAAATAGCTAGTGCTCACACCCATCATCTCTTTTAATTCCTCCAATCTCTGAGAAGGAGAGGATATTATCCTTGCTTACAGAAAAGAATTGAGTTGGACAAGTTAAGAAAACTCTAGGAGGGGTGCCTGGGTGGTTCTGTCGGTTAAGCATCTGCCTTCGGCTCAGGTTATGATCTCAGGGTCCTGGGATTGAATCCCACATCAGGTTCTTGCTTAGTGGGGAGCCTGCTTCTCCCTCTCCCTCTACCCTCCCTCCCCTTTAACCCTGCCCCCTGCCTCATGCACTCTCTCACTCTCTCTTAAATAAGTATAATCAAGGGATCCCTGGGTGGCGCAGCGGTTTGGCGCCTGCCTTTGGCCCAGGGCTGATCCTGGAGACCCGGGATCGAGTCCCACTTCGGGCTCCCTGCATGGAGCCTGCTTCTCCCTCTGCCTGTGTCTCTTCCTCTCTCTCTCTCTGTGTGACTATCATAAATAAATAAATAAAAATAAAAAAATAAGTACAATCAAGAAAGAAAGAAAGACCATAGGAACCTGGAGAGATGTCACAAATGAGCTACTGGTGGGTACCCTTCTCTTCCTGTTAGAATTCATTCCAATTGGTTTTCATAATAACCATAGAAGTTATTTTGTTTTTAAAGAGTTATTTATTCATGAGAGAGAGAGAGAGAAAGAGAGAGAGAGAACATAGGAGTAGAGGGAGAGAATCTTCAAGCAAACCCCCTGCTGAGCATAGAACCCAGCACGGGGCTCAATCTCATGACCCGTGAGATTATGACCTGAACAGAAACCAAGAGATGGAAGCCCCACCGACAAAGCCTCCCAGGCACCCTGA